GAGTCTCCTTCAACTACCAGATGCTGAACTCTTAATTGTTCTGCAATCTGAATTCCTTGTATCGCCGCCAAAATCTCAGCTCTATTAGAGTCTCCTAATCCCACAGGACCTGAAAACAAGGCTAATATATTGCTCTCCGTATCTCTTAGCACCCCTCCTATTGCCAATGGGCCTGGGTTTCCTTGGCTGCTGCCATCAAAATTCAGCTTTACCCATCCTTCAGGCGGAGGGGTCCACACTGCAGAAACCCTGTCTCCTTCAACCCTGTCTTAGTCATCATTTTTCCACAAAGTAATAATTCCCTCTGAGGCTCCCCAGACTATGCAAAGGCCCAAATTAGGCCCCTTGTTGACAAGATACACTGCACCAATTTCCTATCCACCTCGATCAATTTAGGTTCTTGGATTGGGACTAAATATAATACCAAAAGAAATGCTCTAGCCAAACAAGGGGTAGGTATGGTAGATTTGCACCACTAGGCCCAATTGTATAAAGCAAGGGAAATACAGAGATAATGGAAAAAGGGCTTGACCAGCCTATATAAGAGAGATGCTTGGCAGGTTGTATTTAATAGACTTTCCCTTAAATTAATAAAGTATACAATTATCAATCAAAAAGCATATGTTAAATACATTAATTGTATTTTCTCTTTTTGCAAAGATGATATCTCTTACATTATATTTGTAATCAGTTATTTTTTTAACGAAACCTACCTTCACTACAAGGAAAAAAACAATATTTAGAACCACAGCAGTCATTCAACCTGCATCATTGGCCTTCTCATGCATAGGAAGCAATAAGGTAGAAGAAGCAAGTTAACTTTTTTCTAATAATTGCAACAAGGAGTGCAACTAACAGCATTTTTTTAACATAAAGACCAAACCACTAACCTTACGAGGGATATTAGTAATGGCCTCTAGATGGTTCTGCAAGTCTTTTAAATAACATAATGCCTTTCGTTGATTGTTTTCACTTTCATCAGTCACACTCTTTTCCATAGCACCTAAAGCAAGCACGGTAGATTCCAAAACATAACGCATGTGCATGAGTTCAATATCCTGCATCCTACCAATATACATCAAACACAAACATCAGAATGTGGAAAAGTAATACAAATTCCAACAAAGACAATAAAGAAATAAGTAGTTCATGATTTGAATTTACAATTTATAGGAATCATTCAAAAATTGCAATATAAGAGCTATAGATAGATCATATAGGAAACTACCATAAATGACAACAAATAACTAGAATATCCACTAGCAACTCCAAAATCATTAAACCATCCACCATTTCTGGATATCCTATCATGGAAACCGCCATGGTCAAAATATCCTCAATATTTGCACTACATCCCTGTCATTCCCTTATCTCAAAAAACCAAACACAAAATACATAGGGATATTACCAAATATCAGCAACATTTTTGCATACCTTCCATTCTATGAAATTTATCTTCAAGAAATTCCTAAAATATCTTACATTATGTTTCGCTAATATTTAGGGTTAAAGCCAGATAACGTTCCCAGATTATGGAAATATTTAGGGAAGTATGACTAAAATGGAAACTTTTTTCAAAAATCTTCCTCAAACTTGAAAATACTACAAAACCTTTTTCCTCAAATCTTTTTCTTTTATTAATAAAATTTTCTTTTTTATTTATTACCGAAAAAAAAGACCAAGATTTTTTTTGGGACCGGTAACAGTGAAACAGTTTTATTTCTTTGAATAATTTTTTTTTTTTTTATCAATAACACTTTCATTAATTCATCAATAGAAGATTTACAAGAGGAAAACAAACACACTTATCTTCCAAGAGCATCAAAGAACCTCAAGAAAAGGAAAAAAAGAAGAAAAAAACATGAAAAACACACTAAAGTTACAGCTTAGCCCAAAACAGTGAATCCCTTTCTGCCCCTTGTTTAGCTAAACCGTCAGCTAGGAAATTAGCCGATCTTTTAACCCAACATGTCTTAACTTCCATCTCCCGCACCAGCCACTTGAATTTCCTCCTCTCATTATAGTACTTCCATAAACCATTGTGATCTTTACTCAGCCACCCTATCACCACCTCTGAATCCCCTTCAATTATGAGCTTCCCGATGTTCAACTCTGTTAGTGAAGGGGTATTTCGGTCTTTGTACCTGTTGAGAATGCTGATGTGTACTATTATGTTAGTTCGAGTGCCTCTTACTTAAATAAGGGCACTTATGTCTTTTCCAATTATATTAATAATATAATAACAGGTCTGGCCGAAACTAGGGTTCACTTTTTCCTAATTCGAACCAGACCTTTTCT